GGTAGATTTGGGCTTGTTTCCCCAACAGTGGGACAGGTTCATTTTTGTTATCCCACAAAGTCTTTGTCATTGACTTGATTCCCCAAGCAGAGGTTGATGATGATTCCCTCGAGGAGTATTGGTAGACGTCCGCAGCAGAATCCAATTGTTATTGTTTTTCTTTAGAGCGAGAGTTTGGGATAACTCCCCAGTAAATCTTATCCTTAATCCCCGGCAGATTGGAATTAATCTCCAGTAGAGATGAATCCCCAATGTGTGGTTATTCCCAGCAGAATGATTTTATCCTCCAGAAGAGTTTATTCTGGAAGGCCGTTCAGGGTGTTTTCCTCAGCAGAGTTGTTTTATCCCCAGGAGAGTTCTTTTCCAGGAGGCCATCCAGGGCCGTTTCCCCAGCACGAGTTTGCTTGCCGTTTATTTCGGCACCCTCTTTGCGGTGGTGTTCCTTTGCATTTTCATTTTGCATAACATCCTCCAAAACGCGTAGCATTTCCATTTCGTATGGAGCATTACGCCATATTCAAACATATGCATAAGAAGCATAAGCCAGGTTGTTAATCTCAACAAACATACGCATTATCCATAATCAATTGTTTAATCTCTAAATTTCCCACTACACCATCACAATATAGGTGATGTAATATTTCTTCCTTTGAACTTTTTTTTTATATTTCTGTAATTAACACAAGGACAATAAAAAGAGACCATTATTTCTTGGAAGATTTTGCTCCGCAAATTCAAGAAATTCAAGAACTCATTTCTCATACACTGGACTTAATCTATCAGCTTTCGTTCAACTATGATCCATAATAAATTATAAAATTTATATCAAAAGACTATTGTGAATGACACACTAATGTTACACATACAACATACTAATATGTTTATCTGCATATGCATAGTCACAAAATCTGAATAAAACATGAACAATACACATTACAATGTCAATCGTAGTTAAATATGACACATATAATTACGATTGATAAAAACAACCGTAGTAAATTATTTTTCAATTTTTATTTAACAGTATAACTTAAAAGACACGCGTTTTTTTATAGAAAAAAATGAAAAAATATTGATGTTGAGATTCGAAACTTGTAACCCTTAATCTATCAACACAAATATTATTATGAACCGTGATGAAAAGTAATTTAATAAAATAAAAAAAATCAGGCGCATAAAAATAAGATATTACTAGAGTTGGCACAATGGACGTAGTACTATGATGTTACCAAAAATATATTTCATAGTAGTATTTGCTTTTAATCACGATATAGCTTCAAAAAGAATTAACATTGTCTTTAATAATCGAACATTTGCTCAACTTTTAATCCTACCAATAGCGTATCATCAGCAAATTGTAAATGAGAAACAATAACAAATTTTGCTTCCCCGCCCCATGTCATGTATACATTTCTTTTTCCACTAAAACATTCATCACAACATGTAACCTTTCTGGTGCTACTTAAAAGAGAAAAGGGAAAAGTGAGTCAATTTGACGAAGACATCTTTCCATCTTAAACTCATCAGTTGGACTCTCATTCACAAATATAGAAACTGTAACCGTAGTAATACACTTTAATCACTACACGAAATATTGCCTTTTCCCAAGTGATATTCACGTCACTAATGTAAAAATCACTTCACTGGCCAATGGTTGCGACGTGGGTAAAACACGCCGGAAATGCAATGGTGGGAACTTTTTCCCACGTGGAAAACACGTCACAAAGTTGTGACAGGATTACCACGCCGCAAATCACAAAATAAAGAAGAAAACTTCCCACGTGAAAACCACGTCACTAATTAGTGACGTGAAAGTCATGTGAGAACTTACCTTTACCAAATTGCTCTGCACGCTGGTCTGACACAAAGTAAATTTAGTACCCATGTGATTCCCACGTCACAAAGTTGTGACCTTGTTATCACGTGGAAAACCTCACAGAATTAATATTTTTCCCATTTTTTTCCCACGTCACTAATTAGTGACATGGGATCCACTTCACTGTTAAATTTAATTATAAAAAGAAATAAATAATATTAACTGAAAACAACGTTAAAATTAAAATAAATATTAAATATTAAATATAAATTTAAAATTAAAATAATTTTTAATTAAAATAATATACATTAAAAATATATAAATATTTAGTCACATGAAATTCACGTCTCAAATACAAATAATAATAATAAAAGTTGTGACGTAATATTCACGTCACAAATAAAAATATTAATAAAAAAAAATTATTCTTCGCCACTAAATAATTCATCTTCGCTTTGGTGATCATCTTCGGGAGAATAATTCGATCTCGAGGCAAAATATTTTCGCATTTGTGCCTCCATGTCTGATTGTCGCTTCCTCATTTCCTCGATTTCAACATTTTGTCTATTTCTCATATCATCCATTTCGGTCTTTAGGGCCGCCTCACGTGTCTCCGCCTCTCGTCTCGCCTCAGCTAGAGCTAACTGTCTCACTGTTGCCAACATTTCTGGTGTCAATTCTGCCAGACGCGATCCTCCTTCCCCATCATCGAGTCTCTGAAATAAAGTTCGGTCCCCTTTTCTATAATCACCAGCCAAAGACCCCAGACCAAAAAAACATCCATTAACTCTCTTCCCGCCTACTGTTAAATTCCAAATATAAAGATCAACGCGTGGATCAAGCGGTGCATCCCCAATCGGCGTATATTGAGGATTTTCAGTTAGAAATTGGGCAAGCAATGTCTGGTACAACTCCTACACACACATTAAAAAAAATTAAATTAAATATAATTTAAACAATTTAATTATATAGTAATTATGAAATTAAAAGAATTCAACTATAATAAACAAGTTACCAAGGTTGATTTGGAACGACCGTCAACAAAGTCGCCCGATTTTTTGGTTCGGGTCTTCACAAATAACTCATTAATTCGTGGCTCCCTCCCCAAGTCCTTTTTCTAATTAAAATAATGAAGCTTAATTAAATATATAATAATACAAAAAAACTTAAAAAAAATAGTTATAATTACCATTCGTCGACAATGTTCGCCGATACTGATACTTTCAATTGTATTAAGACAGCCACCTGCTTCAGATGCCCTCATCTTTTTAGCATGTTCAGATCTTCTCTGAAAATCTTCTGTCTTCCACCACTCAACAAGTTCACCAAATATTTCCTCGCCTATCCAGTTAGGACGAGTTTGATCTCTTTCCCAACGTTCTCTAGCATTCCTAAGCATGTCAGATAATCTGCTAGATACCTTACTTTTGAAAAAAAAAATTAATTTTCAACTCGTCAAATTTCTGCCAAGTACACCTTTCCTGCAAGTTATATGACAGTCAAATAAAATGTTAGATATATATAAAAAAAATCGTGATAAAATAACATAACTATAATAAAAATACAATTTACCTTGAATTTATCAAACCATATATCTTTCTCATTATCTGGGAGCTCTCCGAAAGACTTAATGAGTTTTGTATACATCAATTGAATGACCCAGTTTACAGCTTTAGCAGCAGGACGACACGGATCAAAACTAAACAACAATAATTTGAACGAGTATTAAACATAAAATGACAATATATAGCTAAATAAATATTATAAATTAAAAACATACCTAGATCCCTCAGGCCTAATCAGATGTCGTCCTTCAACCACCAAATGCTCCTCTGCAACAGGATTTGTCTGCTCCTCATGAACATCGTCATCCCCCTGAACAGTGTGGTCATCCTGCTGCTGACGCGCAGGTATATGTCTGGGGTGTGGAATGCGGGAGCCAGATCCCTCTGGCTGGGGCGTGGAGGGTGTCGGCTGAGGAAAACTAGATCCTAAAGGCTGCGGCGTGAAGGAATACTGCTGAGGAAAAACAGATCCCACAGGCTGTGCGAAGTGAGTCTGCTGAGGAAAACTAGATCCCCCAGGCTGCGGTGCGAAGGAATACTGCTGAGGAAGAAAACTAGATCCCCCAGGAAAACTAGATCCCCCAGACTGCTGCGTAAACGTAGATGGTACCCCAAGCGGATGCATGAAGGATCCCCCAAACGGACTAATAAACGATGGATTCCCAGATGGAACCGTTTGGGAGGAGGAGAGTAATGTCGTAAATGGCTGTGAAGTGTCTACGGACATTAGATCTGCCTGAGACTGTGGGCGAGAAGCATACATGGGCGAGGGCGGTACCTCACGTACTCTGGCTCTCGAACGAGGCTGGGTCTCCTTAGCCTTACCCTTGTCAGTTCGGGGTGGCATTGTATCTATTTTGAAATAGTTATCAATAAATAAATAATACGTAAATAAATCAACAAGACTCTTCATGCTCTTCGTAAATAAATAATACGTAAATAATACATTTGCATTCATATAAAACAAATAATACATTAATAAAAATTGTCCGAACACATATAAAAATATCTATTCAAACTCTTCATGCTCTTCGGCCATATTATTTTCATCATCTGATCCAATAATGTCCTCAGATCCAATATCTTCATGCTCTTCGTCCACATTATTATCTACCAACAAAACAGACGCATCAATTTGATGACCCTCGACCAATGTATCACACAAATTCGTAATTTCTTCAACTTAAACCACATCATTAAATTGAGAAATTTCATTTTCTTGGTAAGCAGCATCTTCCACTAGATCGTCAGTTTCAATATGACCCAATGGTTTTGTTTTGATTACAACACACCATCCACGTTTACGTGACTGAATTGAAGGGTATGGAACATAATAAACTTGTTTAACGATATGTGACATTATGAAAGGGTCATACTCTTTGTACCTTCTGTCCATTCGAATATCAACAACGTTATATTTCTTATCTATTTTTGTGCCCCTGGAAGATGGATCATACCAATCACAATAAAACAAGACAACTCTATTTTCCGAGTCCAAGTAATTGTATGCCAACTCGTAAATATGCGTAACAACGCCATAGAAGTCGTCTTCACCACCATCTGTAACTCCTTTAACAAATACACCACTATTTATGTTTTTTTTTCCCTTCTGTCCACGTTTAGGTGTGAAATTTATAGCCGTTCACAAAGTATGTGTGCCATTCAATTGCTCTTTGAACAAGCCCTCTAGATAAGTTACGCAAATGAAGTATTTCTTGAGTCGGTGCAACAATGCATGACAATTGGTAAAATCTTTGTGCTTCCTCATTCGGCAACTCTTCACCATCAAAGTCCTGAGGTTCATCATATGTCATATTTACTCCAAATGCATTACCAACCATTTCATCGATCAGATTAAATTGTTCATCAAATTCCATATGTGATCGACTGCTTGATGCGTCTGTATTAGTTGTCTCTGCATGTACGTTACTCGGCAGTTGTTCTCCATTATATGTCCAAACCCAATAATATTTAATGAAACCCTTCCTCTTCAAATGACGTTCTACTTCCTTTGGGTCACTAATTATACGTCTACATTCACATTTAAGACAAGGACATCTCACTCTTCCCTCACGTCGACAACATTCTTGTGCAAATGCCCACGCGATAAACCCCTTAACTCCTTCCTCAAAATTTGCCGTAAGTCCACGTCTGCCTGGTAACGTTCTATGGTACATCCAACTACGAAAGTAACGAAAATATTTCATACTGCAGAAATTTGTACTATCATTATATATCATTTTAATAAAATATGTAATTTAAATCTTTTTTTTCTATTTCGACACCAACTTAATAAAATATGTTCACTAAAATAATATAAATTTATTATTTTTAAAGTATAATATATATTCATTATTTTTAATGTATAATATATATTCATTATTTTTAAATTATAATATATTCATTAAAGTATAATATATATTCACTATAATTTTATAAAGTATAATATATATTCATTATTTTTAAAGTATAATATAAATTCACTAAAATAATATATATTAAAAATTAAAAATACATAACATATTTAATTTGTTTCTAATATATTATTTTTGTTTCTTATATATATTAAAAAACTGTTTTATTATTTAAAAAACTGTTTTATTATATTCATTAATTTAATAATATATTATGTTTACTAAAATAATATATATTAAAAAACTGTTTTATTATTTAAAAAACTGTTTTATTAATATATTATAATTTAATAATATATTATGTTTACTAAAATAATATATATTAAAAAACTGTTTTATTATTTAAAAAACTGTTTTATTATATTCATTAATTTAATAATATATTATGTTTACTAAAATAATATATATTAAAAAACTGTTTTATTATTTAAAAAATTGTTTTATTAATATATTATAATTTAATAATGTATTATGTTTACTAAAATAATATATATTAAAAAACTGTTTTATTATATTCATTATATATTTAAAAAACTGTTTTATTATATTCATTATATATTTAAAAAACTGTTTTATTATATTCATTATACATTCATTATATATTTTAAACTGTTTTTTTATATTCATAGTATATATTCACTATACATTTAAAAAACTGTTTTATTAAAATAATATATATTATGTTTATCTAAATTATAATAACTATTTAATAATATATAGTATTCTATATAATAGGTATAATTGATTTACTAAAAATCACACAACATATTATTTAATTAAAAATCTGTTTAAAAATCACACAACATAATATAAATATTTTTTTTTTAATTTGTTTCAAATAAATAATCTATTCTTTTAATTAAAAATCAGATAACATATTATTTTTATTTTTGCTTTCTAAAATTTAAAACAACAACAAACCCAATATACAATACATTATATCACAATATTTCTAAAATCTAAATTTTTTTAACCTAACTATCAAAGTTTTCAACAACAATACAATACATAATAAATATAAACAAATTAAAATTCATAAATACCTCTAATTAAGCTTCTAATATAGAGGACTTCCTATAAAATTGTTAGATCTGAAGAAAAAAAATTAACAGTTAATAATAAAAAAATATAAAATAAACTATAACATGAAACAATCATAAAACCAACTAATATATCACCTTAAATTTGTTGCAAATGAAACTTTGTTGAGGTAACAACACCAACACAGCAGCTGAAGAGAAAAACAAAGGGGGAAGAAAGGGGGAAGAAGAAGGAGATGTGGGAGGTTTGCAAGAGACGAGGACTTGAAGAAATTCTGAGATTTGGTTTATATAAGGGAGGTTGCGACGTGGCATTAACATCAGAAAGTTGCGACGTGCAGGCCAGGTGGGTAGTTTGCGACGTGGCAAACCCTTCAGAAATTAGCGACGTGAAATGAAGGTCGCAACTTCATTTTCATTAATTGCCAACTTATCTCATAAAGCTTGCGACGTGGCATTTACATCAGAAACTTGTGACGTAAATTTAAAGACGGAACATCCCCCAATATTAAATTATTACCGTTGGTCCACTAAATGCCAACCCAACGGGAATATAATTATTGATGTAAGTGGGTTGCGAAGTGAAATTCATGTGGGTATTTTGTGACCTTTTTGAATTTTAACTTCCCAAGTGGTTAACACGCCACAACATAATTTGTGGAAAATTCAAATTTCCATCTCCCTTAAAATTCCAAATTTTCGTTCCAGAGTTTGGCATAGCAAAGTTTATTAATAAAAAAATGTTAGTGACGTGGTTATCACTTGGCAACATAATTTTTTACCCACGTGTTTACCACGTCACTAATTCACTAGGAAATACAGCATTTTCTTGTAGTGAATATCCACTTTCACCACAGAGTCGAAAAATTTATTTTATATTCCAAATACCACCAATCCATATATATATATATTGATCTGACCTGATCAGGAGGGATCACGGACTGGCCACACTCCGTTGGGCTGCTACCTGTTCACCGGGGTGAGAAAGAGGAGGGGGGTGTACCTGCAAGACACTCCGACGCCCAAGTAAGAAGTTGGACGGAGAGGAAGCAATAGTACAGAAAAAGGGGCAAGAAGAGTTACCTGACCCTCTTGGGGAAGAGGGTATTTATAGAGAGACCCCAGCGCTGGGCCAACAGTCATTTGAGGTGGGCTGGATGACCAGGGCCAACCCTAATGACTGCTAGGGCTTACGTGGCGTAGTGAAGACCAGGACGTGGTCTTCGCCCTAGTTCAACCGCTCCTAGATCTCCGGAAAGTGGGCTTGACCTGCTCTTTCGGAGGTGGGCGGTTGGCCGGTGACGTGTCCCCGCGGAGGGGAGCACGTGGAGAACGTGCGCCGAGCACGTTATTCTCCCCGCGGAGGGGAGCCCGGGTGGTTCTGCTCGTCCGGCGTGGTGGACGACGAAAAGGGTGTGGAGACGTAGCTTGTGCTCGGCGGCCTGCCCCTGCTCGTCTCGAAGGGGGCGCGTGCCTGGCGTGCCCGGTTTGCTTTGTTGGGCCGCATGCGGTATTGGGCCTGCCGAGGTGAGGCCCATACCGGAACAGGAGCCCCCCAAGTCGAAGCTCTGGGGAAGAGCGAGGACTTAAGGTCGTCGCATCCGGAGCGGGCACTCGCACGAAGGTCTCCGGTCGTCGGCAGAACGGGGAGGAGGCAGGTGAAGGGACGCGACTGTCAGGCTGCCGCCACGTGTCTTGTGTTAAGCGGTCGTAGGGGCGGCTACCCTATGTCATTAATGAGCCTAGGGTCGCTTCGAGTCCCGCGCCGGGTTATAAATATGGAGGTCCCCGCTCATTCTGTTACTTTTCTCCCTGCTAATCTTTATCGTCTCTGCTCGTCCACTGCTTGCCGCCGATCGCCGCCGTACCGTTCGCTCTTTTCATCCGTCCGCCGCCGTTACAAGTGAGTTCCTCTTTTCCCTCCCTTTTTATTTCCGTCGTTTAACTGGAACGTGTGGTCGGGGCGTGATGAACGCCCCGGGGAGGGACGCGAGTTCCGCCGTGTCTGGCGAGTTTTCTGATGAATGTCCCGGGGACGGTAGGCTGGTTCCGATGAATGCCCCGAGGACGGGAGCTTTTTCTGATGAATGCCTCGAGGACGGGGGGTTTTCTCCGATGAATGCCCCGAGGACGGGGGCTTTCTCCGATGAATTCCCCGGGGAGAAGTACCTTCTCCGATGGCCGTCCCGAGGGGGGTGAGGGGTCGTTCTTTGATCCCCGAGGAGGGTAGACGGGGAGCGAGTGTTTGCTCATCGCTTCCCGGCCTTTGTCGCCCTTTCACTTGACTTGCGGTGGAAGGGTGGATTTGATCCTGGCTATCGAATTCACCGATGTCCTCTGATTTCAGGTGTAGATGTCGGCTCTGGTGCCGGGGATAATGGTTGAAGACAATGAACCCGAGGTTCCGGAGTATGACGACGAGCGTATCGCCCCGTCCGAGGAGTGGGCGGCCGAGGAGCCACTTTCTACCCCTTCTTGCTTTGTGGCCGATGCGTCCGACGTGTACGCCACGGTCGAGGACACGCCGATAGGAGAAACACAGCACTGGCAGGTGTACCGGCCAAAAGAACATCACCGGATCTGTTCGCGATATGGGCGGCGGATGTTCCCGATGCATGAATTCTATTTTAAAGAAGCTCGGCTCCGGTTACCGTTTTCCGCCTTCCATCTGGGGCTTTTTGATTGGCTGCGTCTTGCCCCGTCCCAGCTGCACCCCAATGCTTTGGCTTTCATCCGGGCTTTCGAGGTGGTGTGTTTCTACCTCTCGGTGGAGCCGACGGTGCCGTTATTTTTCCGTATCTTCCATTTGCAGCGGCAGACGGTGCGCGGTCGCCACGGATGGGTCTCCTTCAAGCAATCGACCAAAATTTTCAAAGCATATAGCGATTCTGTCAAGGACTTCAAAAATCGGTTCTACCTCGTCAAACCGATCACGCAGCATGGCTCGGACACCCTCTTCGACGAGGGCGAGCGGACGGTAGATGGCCAGCGGTTCCGCGCGTGGCTTCCTAAGATACATCTACTGTGGACTGCGGAGCATTTCAGCCGAGGGACGGATAGGTATATCGTCCGGGCGGGGACCCTCGAGGAGACGGACATGGCCGCCTATTTGAAAATAATTGCCTTCGTGCGGTCTCTCCCTCCGTCAAAGCTGGTGATGCCCGACGGTCGGTATATCCTCGACGCTCAGGGGAACATACGCACCAAGAAGCGTTTGATAAATACTAAGACTTTGCTCGGTTGTGCGACCGGGGCGGCCGCTCTGGATTATCTAGGTAGGGATGTTCGTTTTCCCCCCGTGGTCGGGGTTTTTGATCGTCGCTAACCCATTTCTTTATTTTTGCAGCGAACATGTCTACCGTCGATGAGCGGGTGAAGCAGTTGCGCGCTGCTAGGAATGCCGTGGCCCCGAGGACGAGGGTGAGTCAGCTGGTCGGACAGGAGGTTGCGACGCAGGGGGGGTAAACTTCGTCCTCGTCGCCTCAAGAGAGCCAATCCCCTGTGTCTCAAGGAGTGTCGAAGAGGCAAAGGTCCGAGGAGCCTCGGGTGGTGGATCTGACGGTCGGCGCCGTCGAGGAAGGTTATGTCGTCCCTCCCTGCCACCAGCATCCGGGATATTTTCATGGCGCCCGTTCTCCCACTGTTTCTGCCGGGGAGGTGAAGGCTGTTCGTCAGGCTGATCGAGATACCCGTCGACGTGTCCTGGCTGAGGACTTGGCCGCAATGATGCGGACGTTCACGACGGCTCTCGTG